TATTAATTATACTTATTTTTTTTTAAATAGAACCCCCTGTATATTTTTAAACTTTCTTATTCAGCTTGGCATGGGCTTCTCGAAAATATATAACACTCTATATTTATTTTCACTATTAACCTCAACATTTCAATTTTCTTAAAATATCCACTTAGCAGATAGTAGGCCACGCCGATTAACAAAGTAAACGATTGTCATGGTGATCGAAACATGCCTTTGATATATGATTCATATTTAAGAATGTTATATTGAGTCTAACAAACATAAGCAAATGGCAGCTGATCTATATTTTGAGCGGTATCCAGAGCGCGAGCAACCAAACTCAGCCATTTTTAAAAGGTTAGAAGATAGTTTAATCAATTTTTGGATCTTTTCAAAAACCGCGTCCAAAAAATTATCAGAAAGAAGATGAAGAAAATCAATATATTAATGTCCTCGGAACCTATCCCGTTCATGAATTAGCAATTAAATAAAATAGAACAATACGAAGCAAATAAAAAATAAGTGTGACAAAAACAAAAGAACATATTTTAATATAAACTCAAGAGTTTACTTCAATCGGGCTTCTCAGTTAATATAAAAAAAAATAAAAATACAAAGACTACATTAAATATTCAGACTGCTGCCCATTATTATCTAGCCAGAGCAGAGTTGGTATCGTCTCCCCACGCCGCCGCCGCTAACAGCATTTCAGTAGCTCTACTTGATGTTGTTGGATCTAGTGTTACGGCTCCGAGGACATTAATATATTCATTCATCTTCTTTCTGATAATTTTTCGGACGCGGTTTTTGGAAAGATCCAAAATTGATTACACTATCTTCTAACCTTTTAAAAATGGCTGGGTTTGGTTGCTCGTGCTCTGGATACCGCTCAAAATATAAATCAGCTGCCATTTGCTTATGTTTGTTAGACTCAATATAACATTCTAACATATTATATTTCTCAAAATTTTCAAATTTACTAATTTGTATTATTTAAAATGCACACACTTCAATCTGTTGAAATGAAATCTCCCGCATCCATCAAAGCCATGTTCTGATCACCATGACAACCGTTTACTTTGTTACTCGGCGTGGCCTACTATCTGCTAAGTGAATATTTTAAGAAGAAATTGAAATGTTGAGGTTAATAGTGAAAATAAATACAGAGTGTTATATATTTTCGAGAAGCCCATGCCAAGCTGAACAAGAAAAATTAAAAATACACAGGGGGTTCTATTTAAAAAAACAAAAGTATAGTTAATATCTCAAAAAATATTTTTTTCGAAAAAAGTCTGACTACGCCACTGCATTCTACACAGAAAAGTGCCTTTAGAATGTATAATTCATTTTTCCGTGGTTGCTGAAATAAACAAACTATCGAACATCTTCTAAAAGTACAAAATTTGAGAATCCCCCTGTAGCTTCGAAATCGATCAAGATAGCCACGATCCGTTTGCGCCATTGTATTTTTTTCAAAAAAAGAACCCGAGACTGCAGTATCAAAATTTGAATATTTCTCACGGTTTCCTAGATAGCCTATAGAAACAACCAAAATGGTCCATCCTGTACATATTCATATTCGAAGTACGTATATTTAAATGTCTTAAAATTGTTTTTCTTTATTCTTTTTGTTTGTCGTTTTGTATAACCAGAAAGGGCAGATACAGCACATAATATACAGTTCATACCAAAATTTTGTTTTACCAGTTTTGTTTTAGTCTCGGTTTTAGTCAATATATTTTAGGAAACAAAAATAAATTAATTATAGATAATATATAAACAGTTATTCCCCGATAAAACTTTCCCCGATATTTGACTCTCCCGAAACAACATTTTATAGCTTCATAGTTTCTTACCGATTCGATCAAAAGCAAAAATGAACTCAAGTAGTTCGACGAAACAATTGAGTAAACAAAGTGCTCGTTACATAATCAAAAAATTAAATAGACATATACTATGAGAGGATAACATATAATTTTCAATATTAATGGTATACTTTTTTAATCAACTAGTGATTAAATGAATAAAAAATTATAATTACATACCTTTAAAAAATTTCGTTATTGCCAAAATAGCCTCAATTATGCCTCACTAGGAAAACCGGTGATTAAATTAAGATGTTTAGGACATACATTCATACGAAGTTTTTCTCTTAGAATAGGTCCAGGAATCACGCCCTTAAATATTAGCAGGCAATTAAAGAACACCCTGGTATAACCACCTCGCAAAACCCCTTTTACAAATTAAATTAAATCGAATGTTAACGGCGCTAATCAACTGGAACCGATTATAAGCATTCATTAATAATTCGGTGGCTGTTTAAAAAATCATTTGCCCTTCAATAAACGCTTCCGGGGGTCTGGAGCACTGTTTAATTTTACATCTAGCCGGAGTCAAAAACCGCAAAGGGTTAACTTCATTTTGGATCAGTGAGTAAACTAATTACACGAGGCCTTTGGCCGTCCAATCATCTGGCTAAATTCGTCTGCTTTGTGTAGCGAAGACCTCGCTGCCGAGCTTGGTCGTAAAACATTTCGCTACTTGCACAATTTAACTTGTTTGCTCTTGAGTTAAGAACCTAAAACTCGTAGGTATAACAACTAAGTTTATTAAAAAAAGAAAGGTGGGGTATTTATGAATTTTCATGTAAAGATTGTAATCAGAAAAATGTTGGGCAAACTAGAAGATCAATCTTAATTAGATTTAAAGAACGTATGGCTCAGATAAGATATGGTAGACCGGATAAACCTTGCGTTGTTCATAACATTATTGTTGATTAACATTATTGTATTAGATACAATATATAATAATAGATACTGCTAATGTTTATTTTCTCTGGAGGTTTTTTTTATTTAACACACAACTTCTCGATCTTCTAACACATTTATTTATCATCTATTCATACAACTTTTATTAAAAATCCCGTTACATATTTTTGTTGGCCATCTGTCAGTCTTTTTTAGGGTTATGTCTCTTCTCTCAATGTTACCAACCGTAACCTTTTCAAATACTTCTTAAGCTGCTTCTACATACTCCCCACCTTGAAAGGGTTAACCTTTCAATAAGAAACTCATATTAAGAAATTTTAACTCATTAAGAAATTCAAATACAACCAAACAATCTTGACATTAACAATATAAATATAATGTAAATCTACAAAAGTCACTTCTTTATAGCTATCACAACGGTAATGGACAAATCTTTGCCACTGATCGCCTCACAACACCATGACTTGTTCTAACTGATGCAACTCGGACAACTCCATCTGGACCAGGATAGATCTCCTGAACACGGCCCAATCGCCATTGTAATGGTGGGACGTTATCCTCTTTAATAACCACCAATGCACCTGGTTGAAGATTATTAAGATTTGTTTTCCACTTTTGTCGACACTGTAACTCTGATATATATTCCCTGGACCATCTAACCCAAAAATGTTGCTGCAATTGTTGCAATCGCTGGTAGTAATTCAGCCTTGACTCTTTAATACTTCTCACATCTGGATCTGGTAAAGCAGTTAAAGTTCTCCCAATCAAAAAATGAGCCGGGGTCAGACAGGATAGGTCAGAGGGTTCAGAAGATAGAGGGGTTATCGGACGGGAATTTAAAATTGCCTCAATTTGCACTAAAATAGTACTTAAATCTTCATAAGTTAAATAAGCCATTGCTAAAACTCTCAAAATGAGATTAGGCCAGGGTTTTATTATTAGGCCAAAAGAGATTTAGGCCAATCACATTTTGATTTAAAAAGCCATGAGGGACCTTTCCACCACAAATCACATGAACCGAGTAAATTAGGGTTTATTCCTCGTGATAATATATCAGCAGGATTTTCCTTGGTAGAAATATGATACCAATCTTCTGGATTAGTTAAACTCTGAATCTGAATGACTCTATTACTCACAAACATTTGAAGTATATTTGGGGGAGTTTGGATCCAACTTAAACACACTGTGGAATCACTCCAAAGAAACACTCTATCAAATTTAAACCTCATTGAGCTTTTAACTTTCTCAACTAACTTAGCTAAAATAAGGGCACCACTCAACTCCAATCTAGGCACAGTTAGGGATTTCAAAGGAGACACTTTAGATTTGGCACATAGTAACCTGACACATGTCTCACCCATATCATTTCTACTCTTGAGATATATACAAGCTCCATATGCTTCTAGCCAAGCATCAGCAAACCCGTGCAACTCTACAGAAACCGCGTTACAGATAACGACATGCCTAGGAACTCTCAAATTATTTAAACATGGTAAGTTGTTTTTAATATAAAAATATTTGATGGTAACTCGTCATCCCAAGATACCTTTGCTAACCATAACCTTTGTAATATTATTTTCGCCACAATAATGCATGGTCCCACCAAACCTAAGGGATCAAAGATCTGCGCTATCATAGATAGAATTGTTCTTTTGGTAATATTCCTTATATTTTCTCTAGATAGCAACTGAATTGAATATCTTAAGAAATCACCCTCACAAGACCAGTGCAAACCTAACATCTTAACACCCTCATCTTTCCCAAAAATTAATTCAGGATTACTAGAATTTACTTTTATTTCATTTAAGACCTCACTACTGTTAGATGCCCACTTCTGAAGTTCAAAGCATGCAGACGCTAATATCGATATAATATCTCTACACAACCTAACTGCCTCTTCTACAGAATTAGCACCAGTAATCACATCATCAATGTAAAAATCAGTTGATATTACTTGAGCCTTTGGATATGTAGTTGCTGAATCTAATGCTACCTGTTTTAAATATCTCACTGCAAGAAAAGGTGCAGATGTAGTACCATAAGTCACAGTTTTTAATTCAAACGTTTTTAACTCACCTTTGGGATCAGATCTCCACAATATCCTTTGTAATGATGTTTGCTTAGGATCGATTAATATTTGTCTATACATTTTGATTATGTCTGCACAAATAACAATATTATGCTCTCTAAATCGTAAAATAATTGAAACCAACTCATCTTGAAGAACCGGACCTACATATTGAAGATCGTTTAGTGAAACACCATTATCTGAAGGATGAAGGATCCATTAAACACTACTCTTAACTTGGTAGTAGGACTATTCTCATTCCAAACACCATGATGAGGAAAATAATAATCCACAGAATTATCAGAAACTGTTTTTAATTTTATCTCTTCCATATGACCCAAACTATGATACTCACTCATAAAATTTACATATTTTTCTCGAAGACTTGAATCTTTTGAAAGCTTGAATTCCAAAGCACGAAATCTTTTCTTAGCAATTTCTCTCGAATTTCCTAAATTTGAAACAGAATCTTTAAAGGGAATCTGGATTACGAATCGCCCATCCTTATCTCTACTAGTCGTCTTAACAAAGATTTCTTCGCACTCTCTCTCTTCTATCGATAAAACTTTCTCATTACTAGTGACCTCTTCAATCTCCCAAAACAATTTTAACTGATTTTGTAAATTTGAATTAAATGACAAATAGCACTTATAAGGATTATCGTAAATACTTTTACACTCACCACCAACAACCCAACCAAATCTGTTTTTTTGCAAAATTGGCTTTTGACTGCCTAAAGAAATTTGTCTTACACAAAGAAGACTTAAATAAATACCACCGCCATGTAACAAATCTATTTCTCCAGGCTGATTAAAGTTTGGATCCGCTAGAGCAATTGTCCGAGGGATATTCCACTTAGAACTATCAAATTTCAGCGTAGGATACTCACCACTAATTTTAGGAATCACAACACAAGATAACTCGGTTTTAAATGGACCTTGCTTTGACTTAATAGACACTTGACATTTATGTTTCAAATTTGATACCACTTGTCCAACACCAGAAACTGTGTAAGGTAAATCTAGCTGTTCTAAACCTAACCTCTGACAACACGAATCTGTAATAAAATTACATTGACTTGCACCATCCAAAAGAGCTCTGCATGTCCGCCACATGCCATTAGCATCTAAAACATTTATTTCAGCAGTTTGAAATAAAACCTGATTATCACAAGAATAATTTTCACTAGTCATACTTAACGTAGCATGCACATTACTAGTCTGAAAACCACCACGGTTTGCTCTACGTTCAAAATGTAAAAGGGTATGGTGTTTTAAATTACACTTTCTACAAACACTAGAAGAACACTCACCTGCTGTATGATTTGACTTCATACAATTGAAACACAATTTCCACCCTTTCACTCTCTCGACTCTTTCATTCACTGATAGCCCTAAAAATTGTTGACAACTATTTAGATTATGATCACCTTTACACATTTGACACTCTTGATTTATGACTGCAAAGGACTGTATATTTTGTCTCTCAGATTTATCTACACCTGTTTTTTTTTCTACTTAAGTCTAAAGTTTCTAATAAATCTGCTTTTTTTTTAAAAAAAGTAATAAACTGATCAAAAGATGGAAGTGGTTGTGAATTTGAACTCAAAATATCTGCTTTTTTCTCTTCCCACTCCCTACTTGTATTTTTATCTAGTTTATTAGCTAAAAGAAATATTAATAAGGTATCCCATTGTTCTACAGGTTGATCTAGTTTCTTTAAAGACTCTAAATTTTTTAATATGGTATCAATCATTTTATGTAGTTCTAAAGCTGACTCATTCATTAAGTTCGATAAAGAAAAAAGTGTCTTAACATGATTTTGAACTAATAACCCCTTATTATCATATCTACTACACAAAGTATCCCAAGCTATTTGATAATTATCTGCACTCACTGTTAAACTCCTGATAATTTGTGCTGCCCCTCCTTCTAATGAGGCTCTCAAGTAATGAAATTTCTGTATATCAGATATAGACTTATTTTCATTTATTAGCGAATCAAACAGATCTTTAAACTCTAACCAATTCTTATAATCCCCAGAAAACTTTTAAAGGTTTATAGCTGGTAGTTTAACATCCTCTTTTAAATTTTGATTTGAATTTATATTATGCATACCTGTTGGCGATACACTTACGTTGGAAGCTCCTGATATGCTTTCGTTAGATTCTGAACCTACTTGTTTGTCACCTCGTATTTGCTCATTATAATCATGTAAAATTCTCTTTGCTTTTGACACTACTGCATAGTAATCTTTCTCATACATATCTCTTTCCTTTACCTCATCTTGGAAGTCCTCTGACAGCATTTCCACCTCATTTTGTACCTCCTCAAATTCCTGAAATTGCAAAATTACTTTTCCTAATCTACCCTCTAGTTCTAAAATAATTTCTCGCTCGCTAGTTTCAGATCTAAATCTTGTAAACTATTATTTAACTGCTCAATATATAAACTAAATGAATTTAGTCGAATCTTTAACAATGAACATCTCTTTTTTAACATATCTAATTTTTTTCCAGAACTCATTTTAAACAATCTTTAAAAACAATTAACTAATACTCAAATTAAAGGACTTTGGATTAGGGAATAACTGGGAAAGGCTCATTTATTGTTTCAATATCTAAAGTAGTTCATGAGTTAACGCGTGTTATGTATTGAAAGTTGTTTAAAAGATCCAAAAACGAATTGTAAAAGATTTTTTTTTAAATTCACTCCCGAGACGAGATGAAATAAATAAAATTATTTTTTTGAAATTTCGGAGAAAAAAAGTTCAAATAAAAGTTGTAGAGCGTCAAATTCTACATAGAAATGGTCTCTATCATAGACTTAAAATAAAATATAGACTGAGCATCTCATTCATAAATAGCTGGAAAATGCGGACAGACAATGTCTTGTTATTGTTTTAGGCTCTAACGAGTGCGACATGAGCGATAGATAGGTTGTCTCCGTCGTAACGGTCGTTCCCTGACGACTCTGACGAAAAATGCAACACTGTCTTTCGTTCCTCAGTATACCTGAACTCTCCGTACCATAGCCGGGTAATTTTTTTTATTTTAATGAAGCTTTAATTCAATTAAAAATATATCGTATTTAACTTTTTTATATTTTATTAAGATTTAGGAGAGGTTTTTTAAATAAAAGTTTAGAAAAAAACGTCCAAAAACGATAAAAATAATAAAACACATGTTATAGAAAAAAAAATAATAATCGAAATTACATTAATAATAAATTATTAATTTTAATCAAACATTATCTAAAAATAAACACAGGATCTATTCTATAGATAGAATAGAATCGGCGACATGGAAAAAAAAGCTTCATGATTGTTGTAATCTTTTTTTCTTTTAAGTGATATCTTATTATGTAAATTAGAGAAAATAGAAATCTGTTCCATTAAAGCAAGCTTTTAGGAAGTGGATAAAATGAAGACTATATTTATTTAACTCGCTTCTGTCTTTATTATACCGGCTGCGTCTCAAAAGTGGCTCACCACCATAATTTTTTTATTTTTTCAAGTTAAAAAACAAGATTTGGTATGTTAGTATATGACATAAATTAGGATTGATTGACGCATTCAATTATTTTTGGTCACTTCCTGTTTCACCGGAAATGACTATAACTTCTGATTTTTAAATGGCACCTTAGGTATATCTCTACTTTATTCGATAGAAAATTACACTTTGAATAGAATGACATATCATATTTCAACTTTTGACATTTTTTCATATGGTTTAATTGAAATTGTAACACGTGGTTCATAACGACAATTGGACTCGAAATACCGAGTATCAATATATTCATAAAAAAATGCTTTTCTGAAATATGCTAATGAGTCACCCTTGTTCCATTTGAAAAAATTGAAATATGATTAAATATACGATTTGTATATCTTTTAACCGGCCTAGACAAGACACGAAAAACATTAGACGATCAAAACTATTTTCCAAGGCTCCTTGATTAAAACTTAGTGTTTTTAACACCGCCATGGCACCCTGGATTGAAATTTAAAATACGATTTGAACGAAAATGTTAAATATTTGAATTTTTCAGCAGCTTATACATTCTTTTTATATTTCTACTATCATCCTCTAACTTCTAGCCAGCCTATCTCGGTTAATTTTGATCTGAGAAAAAAAAGTATAGAGATTATTTCTATGTAAAATTTGACGCTCCACAACTTCTATTTGAACTTTTTTTTCTAGTTCTTACCGTTTCTCCGATATTTCGAAAAAATAATTTCATTCTTCAAAAAATCTTTCACAATTCGTTTTTAAATCTTTCAACGTTTTTTTACAAGTATCCCCTCTAATAAATCTTATACAATATTGCTTGGATTATTGTTTGTTCATCGTAATACCTAACAGGTCATGTTAATACGCCCAACAAATTGATATATTCATTCATATTTATCTCTAAAACTATCACCCCGATAGAATACTGTGGCGGTTAATTTTCAATCTGGCTTGTATTATGAACGAACGTATACATCGTAATTACCTGGGTAATAGATACTAAACGACATTATTAATTATTAATCTCCTTTATTAACTTTCAGTCAATATTAATTTTGTGAATATTAGGTGTCCGAATAACATAATTCTCCAATTAGGGATATCAATAAAATTGCCTACAGATTTTTCAGTTTAAAAATTATTCATTTGAGAGAAATATCATAGATATATATTATAATTATTTCAACTATGCATATTATCTAATAAATATTATCGGGTATTATGAATCTATCCTGATTATTTTATGAGATTTTAAAAATTGGAACCTGATTAAATTACCGTTGTTTAATATTAAAAACTAAAAAAAAATAAGAAGGAATATTTTTTAGTTTCACTTCAATAAATTTTCCGTGTATTCGCTACTTAAATCTGTGTAGAGTATTGAAGTCATGATCACAAAGTCCCGCTTAAGATGGGCTGGTCACGTATGCAGAATGCAAGAAAACTGCATACCAAAATCTCTGCTTTACGGTGAGCTTTACGGAGGCCGGGTGGACAATTCAAAAGGTACAAGGATATTTTCCACGAAAACTTAAAGGGTATTAACAAGCAGAATGAGTGGGAAGAAGCAGCTCACAATAGAACGGAATGGAGAAAAATTGTAAAGTCAGTTAACAGCGACAACCAAAAAGTAAAGAGGCAACAAAGCAATGAGATTTTTGAATGTCTCGAATGCGGTAGACAGATAACATCACGTTTTCATTCACAGAAAAATTCATGAAAGAAAACGCCTTGCGTGACCATCTTCTGATGCGTGTCAAATACTCGTCAGCGAGTAATGGCAGTATGTACATATGTATGTAAATCTGTATATTTATTTGGTCCGCGGTTTAAAGTATTCTCCGATGGTGGCAGCACTGGCGGAGAATGCACCAAGCCAATAGATATTTAAAGGACAAAATGTTTTTCAAATCAAATTATAAAAAAATCCAAGTCGTACCTTGTGCTGGCGATCTGGAAAAAATACTAACATCTTTAGTAGAGCGAGATGAGAGAAAATTTTTGACCAATCGGTTCCTTTTTTAGAATTCTACCATTCACGCATGCGTTGTTATGAACTAAAATTCAACATAAAAATATCAATAAATAATAACATTGACATTCTCTTGCGTACCTTCAAAAAAAAAACAACTGCATCTTAGTGAAAAACGACAGTAACCAAGATCTTCAAACGAGTCTAAAAGTCCTAAGGGTATTTCGCCACTTGCTCTGTAAGAAAATCTACAAAATAAAATAGTTATTTTTTGTAAACACCGTTGCGTTAATTCAACGGAAGCCAACTTGTCACCAGTGTGTAAACAAATTTGCCTAACGGACAGAAAAATGCTTAACGTTTCGGGAAGTATATCTCTTCCCGTCGTCCGTCTGAAGCAAAAAAACACATGTAGGTACCAAAGAAAAAAAAACTATTTAAAATATTTAAATACAACTATTTAAGAACATTTTAGTTTTTCCAATAGATTCATCTATAAAAATCGTTGATGTAAAGCCAGAATTTCTTCTTCTATCATTATAATTTTGTAGTCTACATTAGGGTGTCCGTTATTTCCCAAGTTGATTTTTTTTTGCTGCTACCCTCTGAAATTTTAGTTTTTGCCCTAAAAAAATTATCCAACGTAAACAAGCTCTTAAGTTTTAATTTAAACCGTGCCGGAATCATGAAAGGATTTTTTTTGAAATTTG